GCACATCATTCTAGAGATAAAAAATGGCTAACCGAATAGCAGCCGGCCACTAACTCTGATTCACAAATTCCGACTAACATGGAGAGTGAAAGCGCCGCTTTTCAATCAATTGTCCATTTTGTCGCTGTTGTTCTTTTCTGATGCAACTTGATTCATGAATATTCCACGTCCTGCGATCGATACGAATACGAATCAAATCGCCCATAAGCCAACGCCGACTTGTCTTAACTGGACCATCTTTAAATGGCACTCTTTGAGAGAAAATCCATCCCGACGAAAGAAAGTGTATGTTCTGATGGTTGCTTTTACTATCGAGACAATTTTAAATGATTCATTTTACGATGACGATTGGATGGATGGGCTAATGGAAAATTCAAAATCTCCTCGCACTAGTTTGGGACTATTTCAGGTCAATTTAGCTGCTGGAGTCAAAATGTTAGAATAAATGCAACACATTGACCCACAAAATTGATTAGCACTAATTTCAAGTGTTGTATATACAGGGCAAACATGCTTTATTGGTGCTAATTGCGTTAACTGTATAGACATGAGAAATGTATTGGGATGTTCCATTTCGCCTGGCTAATTGTGTGTTTATCATAGAAATGATTTTTTAATAAATTTCACCGGTTCACAAGTGCAAAAACCAGCCAAAGTATCGTCTAATCCATTACGGCTCAGGCAGGCAAAGATGCAAACAAAACAACGTACTAAAGAAGGCCAACCAACACACCAGTTATGCTTTCGTAGTTTCCCAAACAATACTATCATTAGGCTGCATTTCCAAAGAGGTTCATTGTTGAACGATAATTGATAATCTTATTAAGAAGGGAAGTTTTCCGCATSGGGCTTAACGAACGGAAACACAATGTTTATTATCAAAGCGCTCTTAACTCGGTTATCAACCGTAGAAACTYTYCCTTTTTTAATGCGCCATTAAAACAGCACTTGCTAAAAATTCTGTTCTCGCCAGCAGCGAGATGATGAGGAAATTTGTGGGCCTCAAYTTGCTCATCCTCCTGGTAAGCGGTGCGTTGATCAGCACGTTCGCTTACCCAAACAGTCAGCAACCCCCCGATTACAAGAATGGCCGAATCGTCCAYCAGCAAACCTCCAAAAACCAGCCGAGAGTGGAGCGGAAATTCGTGGAGAAGCCGAATGCCATCAAGAAAGTGGCGCTGGATGACTTGGACGACATCCAGACCAACGACTTGTCCCAATCCGGGGCGGCAGGCGGAGGATTCTCTTGGTCAAGTCTGCTAGGTCGGTTTGTCCATTCAATTTCCATTGCGGGAGTAGACAAGTTGCCTCCACAGGTATGGTGATGCAGATGATCTTCAATCCGGGAGGAAACGCCAATAATGGGCCGACTAAGTCAGAAGGTCTGGATGATGGGCCAGTGCCAGCTTCTCCATGGGCCAATCTTCTCTCTGTAGGATTGAAGATTCTCACAGCTATTCTGGGAGGAGGCGCTGCCGCTCAAGGCGACGGCATTGACAAAGTGGACA